GTGTGTGTGTGTGGGGGGGGGAGTGTTGTAAAAAAGATCAACAACACAGAGGATCAATTCAGGGAATCCAATAGCTGAGTATCAGCCATTTCAGAACGACCAAAGAAAGGAAATGGAGGAGAAGAAATTGCTGAAAAGTAAAATTCATTCATTCAGTACATACTTATAGAGCTGAGTGCTCACCACATATCAGGTACTTTTCTAGGAACTAGGGATTCAGCTGTTAATCAGACAAAATTTCTGACCACATGCGGTTTGAGTCAGTTGGGAGCTGCAGACAAGAAAGCAAAACATCTCACCACATGCCCATTATGGGGTGACAGTGACACAAGGAAATAAGTAAGAAAGAGGACATTACGGGACATCCCCCCACCCCCACCAAGCAAGGGAATAAGTAAGAAAGAAGACATTATGGGACATGCCCCCCCCCCAAGCAAGCATGTCCCCATTATGGGACATGCCCCCCCACCAAGCAAGGGAATAAGTAAGAAAGAGGACATTATGGGACATGTCCCCCCCCCTAAAAATAGAGATACCTCATGACAACCAGGTGCACAAGAGGTACAGAATCATTGCCAGGCTGGACAGCAGCTCCAAAATGGAGGCATGTGGGGAAGTTATCCAAAGATATAACATGTAACAGCGTCCTGGAATATCCTGGAGGACTTCAAAGTTTAAGGGGACAATAAGTCATAGTGGTTTTATTGTTGTTCTTGTTTTGCTTTTTTGAGACAGCCTCACTCTAATGCCCTGGGTAGAGTGCACTGGCATCAGCCTAGCTCACTGCAACCTTAAACTCATGGGCTCAAGTGATCTTCCTGCCTCAGGCTCCTAGTAGCTGGGACTCCAGGCATCACCACAATGCCCAGCTAATATTTCTAGTTAAGTAGAGAAAAAAATCTCATTCTTGCTCAGGATGGTCTTGAATTCCTGACCTCTCAGAGTGCTAGGATTACAAGCATGAGCCACTATGCCTGGCCAATAAAATCTAGTTTTAAAAACAAAAAAAATTAAAATTTGTTCAAAAAGATGAATTATAGAATACTACTTAACTCCTTAGTGGATGATATTTTCATTGCCATAATAATACAAATAATGTATTACTATTCAACCCTTACAAATAATAGGTAGAACAGAATGTAAATCTTCAATCTTGCTTACATAAAAGTAATATTGCAGATGACAGATTTCAATAGGTAGAAGGAATACTCAAGGGAAAGTTACAAGTGTCAATATCCTTTTCTTATGAAAATGTGGTTGGAGATAATATATCTAGTTGACTTATTAAAAAAAAAAGTGAAAGCACATTACATAATGACAAACAACCAAAGAACTGAAAAGACTGATATTACTAAACTGGAGCAGAGAATATTAATTAGATCTAGCCTATCTTGTGTCTATGACCATAAATCATTAAATCATGAGATAATAATTTGAATTTGATAAATTGAGTGATATAAACACACATATTAGAAGAAATAGCTAGAAGACATAAGAAAATAGTTGTCTCAAAGGTGAAAAAAGGAAGGATGGGAAATAGTGGCTTTTCATTGTTGTATTCAATTCTGTTTTTTTTTTTTTAATATTATTTGCTTGAATTAGTTTGACTAAAATTTCAAATTTTTATTTTAGAAAATTCCTTTGACACAAATGTAAACTGCCCTCCTATCCTACTGCCCACTGCCCTGAAGAAAATCTCTAATGAGGAAAGCAAGGCTACCTCCTATATTAATTTCAGAATAATTTCAGTGGCAGGTCCTTCATGTTTCAGGTCAGACATGATAGATGAAGAAGGGGCTTAGTGTAAAGGTTAATTCTGTCTTTACAAGAAGTCATTAATGGTGATGATCATGTATATTCTGAGAGGTTATGGAAGATGGAAGCAAGAGTAAGGAATTCTTTTTTATTTTTTTAAAATTTATTAGAGATAGAGTTTTACTTTGTCACCCTTGGTAGAGTTCCGTGGTGTCACAGCTCACAGCAACCTCCAACTCCTGGGCTTAGGCGATTCTCTTGCCTCAGCCTCCCAAGTAGCTGGGACTACAGGCGCCCGCCACAACACCTGGCTATTTTTTTGTTGCAGTTCGGCCGGGGCCAGGTTTGAACCCACCACCTTCAGTATATGGGGCTGGCGCCCTACTCACTGAGCCACAGGCACTGCCCTAGAGCAAGGAATTCTTATCCTTGGAAAGCTGGCTAAAGCCAGAACTTGAGCCCTGCCCATTCCAAAGTTAAGCCAGCACTGGCCTTGACCAGGTATGCTCAGTGATGACTTTTCTCTTGGAAAAGACTTGTACAGTTATGCTGAAATCCCCACAGCAGAGAGGTTGAATAAATCAGGACCTCACCTTGCCACTCCACCATAATCCAAACCTTCTTCTCCACGGAATTTCACCATTAGTCGCTTTTTCAAGTCTTTTGGTCGCATCTTCATTATCTGGCGATAAGACTCCTATGTATCAAAATTATAGCTTCAGAGAGGACATTTCTTATTATTCAAGGTATAAAAAGTTTAAAGCTTATTGATAATGGAGTCTAATTAAAAATGAGCACTCATTCCCATGTCATAGTCCCATGATTCCTATTCTGAATGTCTATTTGGCTGCTTCATCTGGATATTCTATCCTCTTTCCTCCCACAGTTCTCTCTCAGAGACACATGGTGCCAGGTGACAATACACTTAAACAAAACGTATTATCTCCATCTTCAGTACAACACTAAGGACTTAAGGACAAATCTCACTAGAGTTGACTTTCTCTACTTATATAATTTCAGTGTACCCTATAAACAATTATGTAATTTAATCAAAATGAAGATGACATTAGTGTCTGAATATTAAAAAATTCTGAGCCTGTTTTTACACCATTTCCCACTGAGTTGAAATGCAAGATGGGGTTTTAAGAAAAACATAAAGTACCTTACCCAAAGATGGAAAATGTGGCCAGCTTAATGTTCCCTCAGATTCAGCATTTTAAGTGGACATAGCTAAATGTCTATAGATGTTTGCATGATGATGCACTTAAGAATTTTTTTTCATGCTTTAAATTTAATGCAATTCAAACTCTAGCATCTCAAGGGGGGGTGGAAAAATGATCTGGCTATAAAATGTCAGTAAGTCAGCTCTCTTCTATGGCAACCAGTAAAGACTGCTCAGTGGCTAAAACTGGGCACAGCAGCTGATCCACTTGTCTACCACTCAGGCCCAGCCCTTGCTGGGGAGAAGGCACATGGCCTCCCAGGGCTCCCTCTGTAGCTATAGCCCAGTGAGAATCTGTGCTCACTTCTTGCCCCATCTCAGGTGATCATTTCTACCAATGTCTCCACAAAGGAGGGTACAATTTGCCCAAATACAGTAGAGGTTATAACTTATGATCATCTTTCCTAAGCTCAGTATGTTTAGGGACCTGCTCCTACAGGGGAGCAGCATAAGAGCAGAGCCCTCCCAGAGCCACCTACTACTCCTGTTCTCCTGGGAGATGGCAGGGTAGCCACCAGCCACTGTGCTGCTCTGAGGAGTGCCATTACACTCCGGTCCCCAATCCCTGGGCCATGGAATGGTAAAGGAACTGGATTGCACAGCAGGAAGAGAGTGGCAGGCTTGTGAGCAAAGCCTCATCTGTGTTTATAGCCACTTGTGTTACCGCTTGAACTCTACCTCCTGTCAGATCAGCAGTGGCATTAGATTCTCATAAGAGCACGAGCCCTGCTGTAATCTGTGCATGCGAGGGAGCCAAGCTGCGCTCCTTATGAGAATCTAAAGTCTGATGAATGGAGGGGAGATGTAATACACTTGAATCACCCTACTCCACTCAGGTCTGTGGAAAAACTGTCCTCCATTAAACTGGACCCTGGGGCCAAAAAGGTTGGGGACTGCTAGCATGCACGGGGACAGGAAGGGGATTACTTGGTCTGAGGGAAAGGTGCAGGAATATATACCCTGTGTGATGCAGGTAAGTGGGTTCCCACTATGATTAAGTACCAGTTTCTGTATGAACCTCTTGCTTCTTGCCTCAAAAGTTATCTAGTGTTTAAACTTTCACCAAAGGAGGGATTATAGCTCTCTATCTCTCTCTCTCTACCCAGGCTTTAGTCCTACTAAACCCTGTAGTTCACTTAGTAATGAAATCAGTTTCTGCTCACTGAAATATAGAAACCACCCACAGACCAGTTCATCTGAAGTACCCCCTTTTAGACAAAGGAGTTCACTTAGAAGTGAAGCTTTGGCTGAATAGCCTCCCTTGTTTCTTTCTTTCTTTCTTTCTTTTTTTTGAGACAGAGCCTCAAGCTATCCCCCTGGGTAGAGTGCCGTGGCATCACAGCTTACAGCAATCTCCAACTCCTGGGCTCAAGCGAGTCTCCTGCCTCCATCTCCCAAGTAGCTGGGACCACAGGTGCCCACCACAACGCCTGGCTATTTTTTGGTTGCAGCCATCATTGTTGTTTGGCGGGCCCGGGCTGGATTTGAACCTGCCACCTTCAGTGTATGTGGCTGATGCCTTAGCCACTTGAGCCACAGGTGCCGAGCTGCCTCACTTGTTTCTTAAGAGGGCTAAACAGTCTATGCCTGACAGTCAGAGGCACTGGATTCTATACCTCAAATATTTCTTCTCTGGATACTTCAATTCGGCAATGTCCAGCTTGGGGCTGCTGAAGTGATAATTCATGTCTGAGGACCTTTAGTTTCTGGACTAAATCTCGTTCGTATCTCTGGGCAGGAAGTTCCTCATCTTCCAGAGAGCCTTCGCTAGGCAGGGGCAGCGGCTGGCTGGGCTCCTTGAGTTGGCACTGGTGACTTAAGAAGAAGAGAAGCATAAAATCATTCCAAAAGCCACTGCTGAGGCAGCTATGAACAATGCCCACACATCAGGAACTGGGGGAGAGTTCAATGCACACAACTTCTGGTAGAATTTGTTTCCCTGATGACATAAATATGTCCCTAGCTGTGGAAAAATTACTGATAGTCACCATTAGCCAAAATATAGGTCTAGGATATAATAAAGGCAATATCATAATTCCAAGTAACCACCTATCTTGTATGGTATTACTACAAAGAGAAATTGATGTCATTTATCATACATCTATCACATTCACATCATTAGATGCACCTCACAGTTAGAATGGAGTTAATGGGGGAAATGTAAAAGGAGATAACAGCAGAGAGAGGCAACATGCACAGGAGCAAACAGCTGCAGTGACATCTGATGATAACCACTCCTCATTTTTGTCACTAAGAGATTTCTAAGCCCACTTAGTAGGAGCTAAATTTCATTAAAATAAAAGAACAAGGACTAGTAGAGTGCCAAAGTGGCATTTGTCACTAATGCCGCATAGAATGGTAAGTTATGAAAGCTATGTGGGATGTTTTGTTTTGAGAACACAATAAACCTGAAACACTTAGTATGGGACCCAAGACAATTCCCAGTTCTGAGTTTCCAATAATGACAGCTCATGGACAGGCTCAGCAAGCAGCAGTCTCAATGACTCGCCCTTCCAGAGCATGGGGCATAGGCACTAAGGAAAAACCTTGCTTCTCAGTCTAAGGGTCACACATGTTATTAGAGTGCTGCCTGAGGAAGCCTCTTTAATGAGAAACTGGTTGTAAGTAAGAAAAGGGTAGCAACAACATATGGCTTTAGTACTTTTCAGGACTAATTTAAGAGTTTCAAATATGCAATTGTCCACCAAATATTTACCATTATTTGGTTGATGCTTATTATTCAACAAACAGTGCAATAGATATGTTAAGAAAAATATTAGTACAAAAAACCATTAAATTATAAACGAAAAAAGTCAACAAAATGTTTCTTTAAGGCTTACTTCATGATGTGGTGTAACCTCGGATCTGTAAACTGGGTAGTTCGGTTATTATGATCTACAAAATATATTCTCCCAGAAACTGTGCTTCTGACTTCCCAACCTGGTGGCAGTGGTCCAAGTTCATCACAATTCACACTGTTAAGGTCTCTACCAAAATGGAAGATACAGAAAGGTTTGTCCAACTGGGTATGGAGAAATAAGACCAACAATTCACCAACAGGAGCCACAGAGGTCCCTTAGCAAAGCGTCTGTGTCCCCATTCTGCCAACATGGACAGTCATGATGCTACTTACGCCAAACCCCACTCAGTCCAGGCCTCTGCTGCAAATAGCAGCAACATCTGACAGGTAAAAATGGAGCTTTCAGAGCTTATAACCATGTTAAGAACAGGGTCTACCTGAGGAACACCATTTTTTATATGACAGAGGGCCCAAATAGTAGGAAATATCTTAGTGCTGTCAGAAAACTATTTGAGCTCACAAGTTAAATTAAATGCTCAAGGTCAGAAAGGTTTCTTCACTGAAAAGCTCCCAGATGGCATCAAGTTTTTCAAGGCTGAGAGAGATGCATTAAAATGCATTCAAAACTTGACAATTCTAAACAGTTGCATCAGGATGAGGCATTCTTACTTTCAAGTCGGCTTCTTATTAAGCAAGTATTTTAAATTCTAGGCTCTTGATGAATTATTTCAATATAATCCATAGTCAGATGAGAGCACAGCATTACTGACCAAGATGCTTTTCTAATTAACACTAAAGCCTGCTGTTTCATACAGTAAGTACTAAAGAGACACCTCATTCATTTGCAGGTAATATTTCCATTCTAATTATAGATACTAAATCATAATTTTAACATAGACTTGGAAAATCAAAGACAGGAAGCTTATTCTCAGATGAAACAAATTATGAATCAAAAGGAAATGAGCATTACTAAAAATCTTATTAGGTAGTAATGCTATTCTAAAAGAAAAAAGCAAAGCAAAGCAAAAAAGAAACTTAACTCTGTTACAGGGTGGGGTGGGGGTCTCTCTGACCTGGGCTCAGATGTATGGCCTTGTAGAAGAAATTCGTATAGAAAAGCTTCATCTCCCCCAGGAATGGTCCCCAAGGGACTGAGGCAATAGGGACAGTAAAGTAGAAGAGAGAAAGGGTAATAGAGTCTTTATATTTCCTTTTTAAACTTTTTATTATGGAAAATTTTAAGCACATAAAAAACTAGAGAGAGACCATAATGAATTGCCATGTAACTAACTTCAATAATTATAAATTCCTGGTCAATCCTGTTTCAAACATATCCCTATTCACCCCCACCCCAACTTATCTGAAGCAAATCCCAGGCAACATATCATTTCATTCATCAATTGTTTTTGTTTTTTTGAGACAGAATCTCACTCAGTCGCCCTAGGTAGAGTGCTATGGCATCATAGCTCACAGCAACCTCAAATTCTTGGGCTCAAGTGATCCTCTTTGCCTTAGCCTCCCAAGTAGCTAGAACTACAAATGCCCACTACAACACCCAGCTAGTTTTCTTATTTGTAGTAGAGATGGGGTCTTGCTTTTTCTCAGGCTAGTTTCAAACTCCTGAGCTCAAATAATCCACCTGCCTCATCCTCCCAGAGAGTCCTAGAGTCCTAGGATTACAGGTATGAGCCACCATGCCTGGCCCATTCATCAATATTTTTAATTTAAAATGAGAGCAACATTATCTTGAAGGGTATTGGCTTTTCAAGTCAAAGCTGGAAAACTAGTTTTGATGGTGTGCACTTTAGAAAACCTACCTTGGTATCCTGGGGTCATGCCATGTGCTAACTCCAGTCTGTGTGTGCAAAAAGTAAACTTGTCCTTGTACTGTTGTTCTTTGTTCTGCACAAGAAATGAGGGGATACAATTAGATAAATTCATTTCCTAAGAGAGTTTGCAACTAATTCTCCAGGCTCTTATTGTGTTCTCTGCCATATCTAACTCACATTCCCCTTTCTTTGTAATTCTTCTCTCTGAGGTTATTAAATGACCACTCTCACTAGGACCTCATACTGCCCTTTCTAGACACTGCAAATACTGTCATCTAGCCTACTTGGCATCATAGTGCTCTTTGGTATTCATTTGCCTAAGATTTTTACATGATTTCTAAACTGGGAGCACTTTCTGAAAACTCATGAACAGCAAGATTTATTGCCATCTTTTTCCAGCTATCTTTACACTGTCACAACCAGCAAATGGCATAACCACACACACATCAGCATTTATGCCACATGCTAATAACTAAGAAAAGTTCAAAAAATAAAAGGTCTCTGAAACACTGCAGGAGACACTAGCCATGACAGGATTAATTCTCTCACCATAGCCTTCTGGCAGTTCTGGTGACTGGTGGCCATGCGGTCGGTTCTGAGGTGTCTGTAATGAACCTCGCACCTCAGGATTTCGAAGTCGCTGTGCCTGAAGTCTTTGATCTTGACTTGGGGACTCCACAAACCTGCAATTCCCTCCACCAGCAGCAGCACCAGTACTGTCTGTGTAAGGGGCTGGTTCCTCCATGAAGCAGCTAAGCGGCCTTCCCGGCCCTGAGTCCTCATACACAGTTCTGAGAGGGAGAAGGGCAAATAGGCATGACAGCACCAGCCCAGCACTCAGAGACCCAGCCAACATGGCACATGCCCATTTTGCTTTCCTTTAACAATTTAGAGTATTCCAAGGGCTTGGTTTTGTAAAATTCATCAAGTCTCATTCAAAAAGAAAGACAAACTCTTTCAAGAGAAAGAGGTGGCCAAAGGGAGCCATATTTAAAGCATCATCAAGGCCACCGCAGGGTAGAGTGGAATGACTGGAAAAACTAGCCTTGTAAAATAAGGAACTCATGAAATGAGGTTTCATTTTTCTTGATTTAAAATCAAATCCAAATAGTCCACTTTCTTCTTCTTCTTCTTATTTTTAGAGACAGAGTTTCACTTTGTCACCCTCGGTAGGTGCTGTACCATCACAGCTCACAGCAACCTCTAACTCTTGGGCTTAGGTGAGTCTCTTGCCTCAGCCTCCCAAGTAGCTGGGACTACAGGCACCCGCCACAATAGCCGGCTATTTTTTTTGTTGCAGTTTGGCCAGGGCGGAGTTTGAATCTGCCACCCTTGGTATATGGGGCCAGCACCCTACTCTATGAGCCACAGGTGCTGCCTGAAATAGTCCACTTTCCTTGTTATTTTACTCTATAATGGAACTATTGGTTATACAAGATACCACAATGCCTTAACCAAGTACTTTCCAAACATCAGTCTTTAAGCAATTTTGAAGACAATTTACCTTAATAGGAAATACATTTTAAAGAATCTCTTAGATTCTTTAGATTCTAAGGATTCTCTAGGATTCTTTAGATTCTCCTAGATTCAATCTCTTAGATTGAAAATTATAAAATATCTACATAAGACTGAGAAACTAGCACAACAAACTGCTCCCTCAAACCCACTGCCTGGTCATAATGATCAGAGGCTAAGGCAGCAGACAACTCAGCATGCATCACACAGTTTTACGTACCCTTCATTTTCTAACAGTCCTCTGCAGTCCACCACTGGGCCACCAGTGCCTATTCTGTCTCGAGTCTGTAAACTTACTAAAACAGAAGAATGGCTTGCGTTAAACTCCAGCAGTGTTTTATACAATTATAATACAGTGAGCCATTGTAAATTCTAATTTATGTACGATATCCTAAGAATGAAGAGGCATATGTACACAGACACACATATACTCCTCCACCTTCAAAGATGAAGCATCTTACTCCAGTAGCTGCTTCCCACCACCTACCACTTGGCATACTCTTTGGAAACCAGGAGCAGAAAAGGGCGCATTTCTCATGGACTCCATAACAATAATAATTTAACATTCAGCCCCTCTAAGGTACCTTATTTTTTTTTTTTTTTTTGAGACAGAGCCTCAAGCTGTCCCCCTGGATAGAGTGCCGTGGCATTACAGCTCACAGCAACCTCCAACTCCTGGGCTCAAGCGAGTCTCCTGCATCCGCCTCCCAAGTAGCTGGGACCACAGGCGCCCGCCACAACGCCCGGCTATTTTTTGGTTGCAGCCGTCATTGTTGTTTGGCGGGTCCGGGCTGGGGATTCGAACCCGCCACCTTAGGTGTACGTGGCTGGCGCCCTAGCCGGTTGAGCCACAGGTGCCGAGCCAAGTACCTTATTTTTAAAAAAAATTTTTGACTTAGATTTCATAAGGACATAGAGAACCTTTTAGTATCTACAAAGTCTAGATGAATCTAAATATTTATTATCTATCTCCACTATGAATAAGACATTTACAAAGTTGTTTTCAGTTGGCTTTCTTCCCTGGCACATCCCTCCACAAAGAAAAAGAAGAAATCACAAGCAGGAAAGTACTAAGTGAAGAACTTCCTCATTATTATTGTGTCCAGAATGAATATCCACTGCTCATTTATCTTGGTTCGAGTCTACATAAGACAATACTTAAAAAATTTGGAGTCATAAAATTATTCTAGTGTATTGTCAGGACACTGTTTTCTTTGATTCCTTGTAATTCATACAGTCTGAAAGATTACCTCTAATCAACACTCTGTAATGTTACCACATAAAATTATTCCAGTGTATTGTCAGGACACTGTTTTCTTTGATTCCTTGCAATTCATACAATGTGAAAGATTACCTCTAATCAACACTCTGTAATTTTACCACATTTTAATTTTTCATTCTAAATACCATAAGCCTGTGACTCCACAAGTCATATTATATGGAACTCTTCGCAAATCATCTTTGCTTTTTACCTATATGATGGGTTTTCCAGAAGAAACTATTTTACCAACTCTTGTATATGTGGTCACCATTCTTATCATCTACCCTGGGATAATACAAGGACAAAGTCATTGTCCATCAATGTGATAATTAAAATTACATTTAAAATTATAACCATAAAAATCTTTCTGTACTCAAGTCATTTTAACTCTAAATTACTGGGGGAAGGGAATTAAATAAAATAATAAGGTGCCTGTAGTCCCAGCTACTTTGGAGGCTGAGGCAACAGACTCGCTAGAACCCAAGAGTTTGAGGTTGCTGGGAGCTGTGATGCCACGACATTCTGGCAACAAGGTGAAATTCTGTCTCAAAATAAATAAATAAATAAATAAATAAATAAAATTAAAAAAATAATAAAAGCTACATAAGACAAAATTTTTTTAATGCTGAAGAGATGGCCCCAGTATGTGGTTTATCCTTTGAAGTATGTCAGCACTGTCAGTGCTTGTGTGTTTTCTCAGCAATGAAGAGCTGAATATTAAGTTCTGTAAAAGCATCTCTTTATACAGACGAGAAAGTTCTTACCCACTATTTGGCCACGAACTGCATCAGTATCTGAGGGATTTAGTTTGCATAGATCCAAACGCTGGTCTGCAAACAAACAATTCAAAACTTAACCCAAAGAATGTTAACTAGGGAGGAAGGAAAGAATTCTGTATTCAGCATTCAAAAAAAAAGAAAAATGCCTAAGCTTTCTTCATTTGCATTAAACGGCAGAAAAAAATGTTTGGGTCTTACATCCAGTATCTTTTAATCTGCTGATGGCATTGGAAAGTAACCGCACGCAACCCAGAAAACCGGCTCCCTGTTTCTTGTGAATTTTCTTGTGGTTCCACACACTGATGGTTATAGAATCAGTTTTCCCAACATACCTGGAAAGAACATGCAAACTCATTTTGTATTTCTGAGTTATGATATATCACTGACATTTTATCTAATTAAGAAGCCTTATAAAATAATGTTGTTGGCTCTATATTCCATGTAACATGTAACAGGCATTCAATAAGCGCACACATGTACTCATCTCCGTTGGCTAGGAAAAAGAACTACAACCAGTTATATAAACAGCATGTAGATAACCATGTGATAATAATAATCTCAAAATAGAGATTTACTATACTGTAATAGTTCCATAAGATAATGACATATGATTCATAAGTTCCCACCAGTAAGGTTTAATGTAGAATACTAGTTTGCAAAAAGGGACTACTTATGAGGTCAATTAAGTTCGTGAACTCAGTCTCTAAAAACTGCTACATACCTCACTGTTGAACATTACTACCAGTCACCTTCAAGGTAGTCCCCTTGGGAAGCAATGCATTGACATCAGTGCCTCGTCCACCCTTTAAGAAATTTTGGAGCTCTTTTTCTGGAATGGCCATCAGAGCTACTGTTGTATGACGGTGTGACAATTAAGTTCACAAACTCATCCTAGAAAAAGTGCTACATACCTCACTGCTGAATATCATTATGGTCACTATATAGCTATGGGGAGTACTTTAAAGGCAAACGTAGTGGTATTCACCAATGAGATATATAGTACTTTTTTTAGGATGAGTTCGCAAACTTTATTGTCCAACTTCATATAAACCCACAGATCCATTCAAAGTATACAAAAAGATTCTAGGACATTAAATCCTCTTATTCTTAATACAATGCAAGTCAACCATAGAGGGAAGGAAACTTTTAGGACAAGAATTAACAACCACTTTACAAGCCATTTCTAGAACCTCAGAAACCCTATCCATACACAGTACAATTTGTGTTAACTAAAAAACTCATAATGGGGCAGTGTCTGTGGCTCAAAGGAATAGGGAGCCGGCCCCAAATGCCGGAGGTGGCAGGTTCAAACCCAGCCCCGGCCGAAAACTGCAAAAAAAAAAAAAAAAA